TGAGGCTTTCTACTCCCATAAAGATTTACACCCTCGGAAACCCTGTACAGGGTCGCTATGGGTTGGAACCGACTCGATGGCACTTAACAACAACAACATATATATACACCCCCAAACACACACCTTCTTTTGAAAGATGCTAAAGCTTGGAGAAGTTGAGTGGTTCACCTATGTTGTTGGTAAGTGTGCTGAGTCACTTCCGATTCACAGTGAGCCTGTACAGGGTTTCTGAGGAGTGTCTCGTGGGTTTGGACCACTGACTTTGTTATTAACAGTCCAGTGCTTATCCTACAACACCACAACATTTAATGCCGCACAGGAATTGTAACTTTGGCTCCTGATTCTCAGATTAAGCTGCTCCTTGTTGTGATACCCTAACATAGTTTCAGAAACAGCACTTTTTACATTTTAATTAATCATTTCCAAAAGCAGAGATTACTCAATTTTTTAAATGCCTGTTTCCAATTTTTAGTCCTCTGATAGAGAAGTTCTGTTTATTGTCTAGCCAAAGATCAAGTGGGATAATATGTATGAATGCACTTTGTAACTGTAACATGCTTTACAAACAAAAGTCATTAAACCTCTCCCACTTCCGGCCCTGCAACTGCAATTCTAACTTAGCATAGAAAAAAAAAAAAGTTTTTTTTTTTTCATAGGCCTGTTTTATTTTTGTTTTTAATTTGTAGTGCCTTTTCTTGTGACATCTTTCTTTTCTTCAATGATTGGGCATGTTGGGGACACCTGGGATCGTATCAGGCACCTCCATAAAGCCTTAGAGTCTACCTGGTTAATACTTGTTACCTACCATGATGCAGGTATTGCTGTTGTTAAGTGCTGTGGAGTCAGTTCCTACTCATAGCGACCCTGTATAGGTTTTCTGAGGAGCGGCTGGTGAATTTGAACCACTGATCTTGTGGTTAAAACTGACCTTGCAGTCCAGTGCATTATCCCACAGTGCCCTGGTTTGTTATAGTTAAGTGACATTGCTTCAGTTCTGCCTCATAGTGACCCTGTATATGGTTTCTGAGGAGCAGCTGGTGGGTTTGAACCACTGACCTCATGGTTAGCAGTTCAATGCTCATCCTACAGTGTCACACCAGGAGTCCTTGATTTAGGGTTGAGGAAAGTGAAGTTCAGTGCAGGATTTATAATGAGTAGTCCTCAAGTCAGCTTTTTTACTTGGCTGAAATTAATATTATTTCTGAGACAGATTTATCAGTTATGCCTCCTCTGACTCTCTTTCTCTCTCTCTCTCTCTCTCTCTCACATACACACACACACATACATGCAAGAATGGTAGCCATACATTTAAAAAAAATAAACTGAAAACAGTCTAGACATCTTAGTTTATTGTGCAGAATCAGGATTCCATAAGGGCTTTCTACCGTGTAAATGTACTGATTTAGAGATTCCAGCCCATTCAAGGAGTTCTGGTGTGGAGCTGTAGCCCTGATCTGCTAACCAAAATGATGGCAGTTCAAAACCACCAGTTGCTCCTCAGAAACCCTATACAGGGTCACTATGAATCGGAACCGCCTTGACAGCACTTATCAACAACAGCCCTTTCATGATGGCGTTGCCTGTCTGTGGGTGTATTGTCCTGGTTCCTAGGGGTCTGCTCAAATGCACAAGGAATCCTCCTCTGGGAAGACAAAGTTTTATTAGGAAATGTGGCCTTCCTGCCCTCTGAGTGGAATCTTCCTTATTCTGGGGGTCCCCTGCATTCCCAGAGCCTGGACCCCATGTCCGAGGCTGAGAGCAGGATTACAGCCTCTCTTGGTTTCTCTCTGGCTGTTAAACTGCACCAAAGTTCACAGGGACCTTTACCAAGGTACCCTACAAGCCAACCTAGAGAGCCTCTGGTTGGTCAGAGAAGGATCATGTAGGAAGGCTTCTAGTTTCATGAGGGTTTTTTGTTCTTGCACCAGACTGTCTCTTTGGAGACGTTGGAGCTGCCTGCAGATGGCAAGTGACAAGGAGGAGTCATTGTGTGGTATTTGTTAAGCCCTGGCACTTTCCTTGTTTAAAACCAACTTGGAAAATGAATTTACTGCATTCCAAAGAGAATACACATTAAAGAAACCAAAATGCCTCTACATGGGGCAGGGAGTGGGGGTTGGAGGAAGGTAGAACTATACACAGCTCATTTCCAGTCTGTTTGCAGGATAGTATTCTTAGAGCCTAACCCCATTTTGCATTATAAATTAGTCCAAAAATGCCTAGGGAACAAATGTTTTGGAAAAAGATGTGTAATCGGATGCTTTTTTCCCTCGCCCTTTGGAAGTGAATGGCATTCACCATTTTTGAGAGAGTAAAGAACATCACTGAGAAAAATGCAAGCAGGATGAGTGTACTCAGACCACACGTGTACACTGTGATGTAGTTGGAAAATCATTTCCATATCAAGTCTCACTGGTTTTGTTTTATTCTCCCCTCCCTTATTTCTCAAAATAAATTCTGGTTTTGCATTTTTTAAAAGGCACCTTATTAATGCTCCAAATTAATCCTGCCCACAAAACTAGCTTCTGAGTCAAATGATATTGAGTGACGAGACATTGCTGGCATGTTTGCCAGCCCAAAATAGTTATGCTTCAAAGTGCAATTAACGCCAGCCTTGCTGGGAGAGAGAGGTTGCTGGTTAGGGGTGGGCTGGGGAAGGCTCAGAGCGCTGCCTTATCCACAAGTGCTCATGTTGGCTGCAGGCAAAAGCCTGGTGCTCCAGTGGAAGTACTGGGGTCACCCCACCCAGGCCTAGGAGCCCAGCCACCTGCCCTGGGGCTGGTTCCTTCTGCAAGGACAGAGGTGCTCCAGTTAGAAGATGAGCAGCAGGAAGCAGTGGCTCCTAACCTTGTCCCACAAAAGTTTTGCTCTCAGGATGTCTCTGGTGACTTCACAGGCTATGGGAGGGCCTCCTTGCTGGACGTGATCACTGGCCGAGGCCATGGTGGTAAGATCAAGTCTGGTCGGATCTACATCAACGGGCAGCCTAGCACGCCGCAACTGGTGAGGAAGTGTGTGGCCCATGTGCGCCAGCATGACCAACTGCTGCCCAACCTGACTGTCCGGGAGACCCTGGCCTTCGTCGCCCAGCTGCGCCTGCCCAGAACCTTCTCTCAGGCCCAGCGGGACAAAAGGGTAATTCCCTGACCCCGGTTGTAACCTTCAGGGTCCGAGAAGCCACCGTCTCCTGTCCCTCTGCATCCCTCCCTGTCCTACCAAGACCCATCTAGCCACAGGTGGTATCTGAGCAGCTAGCTCTCCACCATCTGCCACCAAATCTCACCCTCCACTTTTGTTCATTTGCCTGTTTGCTTGTTTTCTGAGCCTCTGTATGTACAAGGACCCCAATTGTCTTGTCTTCAGAATATGACCATGTCCCCCAACATGTGCCATTGTGCCCAGGACACAGATATCACTCCACATCTGTGAGAAAACTCAGGGATGTGAACATTGCTGTGGGAACTGTCCTCATTCACTTTAATAAATAACCAAGGGAGCACGCGTTTTAAATTTGAATCAAAATGTTTCCGGCCCTGGAGTTAAAAAAGAAAAGATGTGTTGCTGTCGAGTCAATTCTGTCCCACGGTGATCCCACGTGATAGAGTAGACCTGTCCCACAGGCTTTTCTTGGCTGGAATCTTTACGGAAACAGATGGTCAGATCTTTCTTCCAAGGAACTCCTGGGTGGGTCTGAGCCATCAACCTTTTGAATAGTAACTAAATGCAAACCATTGTGTCACCAAGGGGTCTTGCAGCCTCGGAGGTGACATCTAACACAGCAGGCTCTCTCCTGCCCCAAGGTGGATGAAGTGGTTGCGGAGCTGCGGCTGAGGCAGTGTGCCAACACACGAGTGGGCAACGAGTACGTGAGGGGAGTATCTGGGGGAGAGCGAAGGAGAGTCAGCATTGGGGTACAGCTCCTGTGGAACCCAGGTGAGAGCCGGGGGATGGTTGGGGAAGAAGAGACTTATGTTGTCCACCTTGGCTTGGCGTGGCCTGGCCTGGCCAGTGTGCGGTTAACCCACCAGGCTCCTCTCTCTGTTGGGAAGGCATTCTTATTCTGGATGAGCCCACCTCGGGGCTTGACAGCTTCACTGCCCACAACCTGGTGAAGACTTTGTCCAGGCTGGCCAAAGGCAACAGGCTAGTACTCATCTCCCTCCACCAGCCCCGCTCAGACATCTTCCGGCTGTTTGACCTGGTCCTCCTGATGACATCTGGCACCACCATCTACTTGGGGGCTGCCCAGCACATGGTCCAATATTTCACGGAGATCGGCTACCCCTGCCCTCGATACAGCAATCCTGCTGACTTCTACGGTGAGTGGTGAAGCCAGAGGGGCCGATACACAGGGGCTCCCCACAGCCCCGAGTACCATCAGAACTGAGTGATAAGACCCAGGAGAGAAACATGCAGAGGCTGTAGGAGATGGGAACCAGGATGGAGGTGGTGGACAGAGGGCAGTGTAAGCCATAGGTCCATTTGCCAAGTATCACCTGCTAGAAGTAAGAATTTGCAAAAAGCAGCTTCTGAAAAATAGCCACACTTCCATATGGGTAAGAAAAGACTCTGGGTGTTCCAGAGAGGGGATAGAATTCAAGACGGTTGAGTTTCATTTCTAGAATGAGGCCTTGTTTAGGTTCTGTAGGCAATTTTAAGGAATTTGAGGTCAGAAAGCCGTGATGAAATCTTAAAACTGAGCTCTGATGCCCTTCAGAGGCAGGGAGCCTGCCCGAGGTACATGCTACCTCAGACCTTGGCCAGTGAGTGAATCTCTAGATATGAAAATTGCTCAAGTTCTGAGTCCTCAGCATATGGCCCTGAGGGAAGCATGAACCTTTCCCCTCATTCCTGTGGGGACAGATGCCTCCTAGTTACCCATTATGGACTCTGAGTGTCAAGTGACTGCTAGACTGGTGGTGCAGTTGAACCATGGCCCAGAGGCCACCTAGTGCATGACCTTGACCTTGATTCATGGGCCAAAGTGGTCAAGGAGTCCAACTCACCTCCCAGATGGCAAGGTATAGTGGAGACCTCATCACTAAGCATGGACACAGGATCATTTACTTGAGGACCAGAGGCACGAAGACCAGAGTCTCTCCCTTTGACCCTCCCCACCCTGCCAAGTTAAGGACATCCCCATCTCTACAGATAAGACCAGAGTCCAAAGTGCTAAACAACCTGCTTGCCTGGTTGCAGAACTCGGCCTTCCACCTGGGATGTCTCTCCCAGCCTTGATCCCTGTCCCTGCTCCTATGCCCTCCTCACCAGCATCCTCCATCCATCTCCCAGGAAGACGGGCCAGTCTGTCCAGGCGCCAACCCTCACCCTTACCATACCATCCATGAACTCACATAGTCCTCACCCTCCTTCCCTGGGGTCAGGGGCCAATCTAGTTTCTTGTCAGCATGTCATCTTCAATCCAGTTGTTACATCTGGAGATAAGGGGGCAGAGTGCACATGCCAACCTAGCCACTGGGGAAAGACCTGAAGTAACCTCAGACAGAGGTTAAGAGAGGTCAAATGCTCACATTGACTAGATTAGTATCAGTTGTCAAGTTGACTGACCTATGGTGACCCCATGTGTGCCAGAGTAGAACAGGGCTCCATAGGGTTTCATTGGCTGATTTTTCTCAAGTAGATCAGCAAGACGGTCTTCTGAGGTGAACTTCTGGGTGAACTCAAGCTTCCAATCTTTTGTTCAGCAGCCAATGGTGCCTTCTAGGGACTCCTAAATGCCCATAGCTGAATCTGGTGTTCTGATCTGCAACCTACACACTGGGGAAGGAGGGACATAGCCGAAGTTTACAAGACCCCTGTTGGACATGACCTGTCTGGTTATGAAATGGGATGAAGGAACAAGAGAGAGGCTGAGAGATAACTCCCAGCCGAGTCCAGGCTTTACAAAAGGAATGGAGGCTGAGAAGAAGACTCTGAGGGTTGGCGTGAGGTGGGCTTAGGAAGACCCCAGTTGGACTGGGAGGGATTTGCCTTTTCCGATCATGTGGGGATTTGGTAGTTGAAGGCAGAGTTTCTAGGAGAGCAAGAGCAGGGGCTGGAGCTGCCAATGCCCACCCAGGAAGCCTCTCAGTGGGTGCATCAGGGTGGTCCTCCATCTGGTCTGCCAACTACCCCTCTGCTCTCTGGGAGAGCAATTGACTAAAGGTTCACAGAGATCTCCACAAGAATACCTCAGAGATCTCCACAAGAATACCTCAGGTTCCATTCCAGACCACTGCAATAAGGCACATTTGCAATAAAGCGAGTCACACAATTTTTTTGTTTCCCAATAAATATAAAAGTTACGCCAACACTATATTATAATCTATTAAGTATGTGATAGCATTATAAAAGAGTTTGGTAATTGTGAGAACCACCAAAATATGACACAGAGACAAAAAATGAGAACATGCTGTTGGAAAAATTATTTGGAAAGACTTGCTCAAAACAGTCTTTGCTACAAACCTTCAATTTGTTTAAAAAATAAAACAAAACAAAAAATACCCCACAATATCTATAAAGTGCAATAAAATGAGATATGCCTCTACTGACAAGAGGTGGGCCCTTGCACACCTCAGCCCACATCTGCTCTCCTTTGGGTAGTCAAATCACCATCAGCCAAAGTGGTCATTTCCAGTGAGGAATAGAACTGCCCAGGAGCCCTGGCCAGCCCACCTTCTCCTGGTCAGGCAGCCCCAGCAGCGAGGCCTCATGTTGAACAGCTGGATCCTGACACCTAGACATGTGGTTCTGATGGCTCCTCCTGTTTCGTTCTGTCCTGCCCTGGAAATGTTCTATGCTAAGAGCGGGCCAGAGCCCCCAGGGCCCCTTGCTGGAGAGGTGGGTGGTTCACAGCCCACATTTTCTGCTTCCAGTGGACCTGACCAGCATCGACAGGCGCAGCAGAGAGCAGGAGGTGGCCACCAGGGAGAAGGCTCAGTCACTGGCAGCCTTGTTTCTAGAGAAAGTGCGTGACTTTGATGATTTTCTGTGGAGAGCAGGTCAGCGGGAGATCAGCGTGGGCCCCAGTGCAGAGAGGTAAGGGGGCTGGGCATTTAGGGTTTGAGCTCCTGCTGAAGGGGCTACCAGTGACTTGTCCGCACTGCCTCCCACAGCCCCAGCTGCCTGACAGACTCCCACTACCTCCAGATGCCCACGGACCCCCAGCTGCCAGGGGTGGTGCAGCAGTTTACCATGCTGATCCGGTAATTGTCCGTCCATTCATTTCCTCCCAGAACATCTTTGTCGCATCAAACCAAGCCTTTGATGTTTAAAGTGAATTTGAAGGAGGAAGTAAGATGTAGAATTGTTTGGATAAACAGTCTTACTGAGACCAACGGCAGCTCCCAGCATGATACAGAACTATCAGTACTCACAGACCTCTTCTATTCTTCAAATGAAATAAAAATCTCTTCACTGGGTCATGTGACAATTCAGGACAACCTCAAGTGGGAAGGGGAGGTCCTCTATTGCACCAGCCCCCAGAGAAAACTAGAGACAACATTTTGGTGTGTGTCTGTATACGTATCAACATTTTAATCCATAGTCTGCATGTTGTTCTGGGACCAGTTTTTTCACTTACAATAATAGTGTTTATATCTCTTACCCTGACTTCTGGTGTGGCACTGTGGGTTAATGTACTGGACTGCAAAGTCGGTTTGAACCGCAAGGTCGGCAGTTCAAGCTCACCAGTTACTCCTTGGAAACACTACACAGGGTCTCTATGGGTTGGAATCTACTCGATGGCACATAACAACAACAACATACTTCTCACCTGGGTAGCTCTTCCTCATTTTTCTTGACACAATATAGCTGTATTCATAATTCATTTACCTACTAGAGACATTTTTTTTTTAAAGTTATGGCAAAATATACATAAGAAAACATTTGTCATTTTAACCATTTTTAAGTCTAAGATGTCGCAACATTAATTTCGCTAGTCATTTGCAACTGCCACCACTATTTCTAAACGTTTTACATCACCCTAGGCAGATAGTCCTTAATTTCCCTCCCCTCAACCTCTAGCCACTTCGGATCAGCTTTGATCTCTATACATTTGTCTATTCTAGATATTTCATTGAAATGGGGTTGTACAGTATTTGTCCTTGTGTTTCTGACTTATTTCACTCAGCATAATGTTTTCAAGGTTTATTCACATTGTAGTATATACCTGGACATTGATACTTTTTAATAGCTGAGTCATATTTTATTGTATTGTATGTTTATTCACTCATTCATTAACAGATAGTCTTGAGTTGTTTCTACCTTTTGGCTATTGTAACCATTCAGGGCATTTGCAGGCCGTTGCTATTACAAGCAATGCTACGACAAACATCCTTATCCATACATCTGATTAATTTTGTCCTTAGGATCATTTAAGTAAAAAAATTGCAAGGCTGACAAATTGATAACAAAAATAATAATCATTTATAGATTACCCACTCTGGGGCAGATGCTTTTAACAATTATCTTAGTACTCACAGTGACTCTGATAATGGGTATTATTGTCCCCATTTTACAAATGAGAAAACTGAGGCTTACAGAGAGTAAGTTACTTTCCCAAAGCCTCCAGGGCTGGTGTATATCGTCCCCTTGGCACCTGTTTCTTTTATTTTTCAAGTCGTCAGATTTCTAATGACTTCCGAGACCTGCCCACCCTTCTCATCCATGGGGCGGAGGCCTGTCTGATGTCCCTGATCATAGGATTCCTCTACTATGGCCATGGGGACATCAAGCTCTCTTTCATGGACATGGCTGCCCTCTTGTTCATGACCGGTGCTCTCATCCCTTTCAATGTGATCCTGGATGTCATCGCCAAATGTGAGTCCCCCAGATTCAGGGTATCCCCACCTTCTCAAAGCTGCTTAACTACCAGGAGTTCCTCTGCGTTCCTGGATTTGCTGAAAACTTTGTTGAATAATTTCATTATGGTTGTGAAGTAAGAGCTAGCTGATCATCGCTTTACAGTTTGCACATCTGTGTTAGTATGCCAATGAAAGCACATTGCCAGTGAGTCTTAGCCATCCCCACCCTGGTAGTACTTAGACTTGGCAGCATCGTACATACAAGTCACAAACTATGAAGGGCTTTCCCTGACCTGACTCATCTGACCAAACATCCACAATAGGATGGTTTTACTCAAAAGATAGCAAGTATAGACAATAGAACCACCCACTGCCGATTCTGACTTATAGTGACCTTATACAACAGAGAAGAATATCACGTTCAGGCTTCCAAGACTGTAAATCTTTACAGGAGCAGACAGCCTCATCCTTCTCTCTCAGAGTGGCTAGTGGATTTGAACCATAAACCATGAAGTTAGTAACCCAACGCTTAACCCGCTGTGCCGCCAGGGTTCATTTAGTTGTATGAAGAGGGATTCAGACACTGTCAACTAATTTCATTCTCTTCTCTTGTTTGCCCATTTTAGGTCACTCGGAGAGGGCCATGCTTTACTATGAGCTTGAGGACGGGCTGTACTCGGCAGGCCCTTACTTCTTTGCGAAGGTGACGGGTCAGGGCTGAGAACCAGTGGGCACTCGGGGTGGGGGCTGACCCTGACAGGCAAAGCCCGGGAAACTGGCCATCTCCTCAGGGTTGTGCACAATCTGTGTGTGGAGATGTCACAGTGCTAGCAGAGGGCCAGAGTCTTGATATTTTCTAAACATTTAAAAGAAGGCCCAGGATCAGGAATGACAATTTTCTGGTTAACATGAACCTAATATTTAAAAAAAAGTAGGAAAGACTTACCACACTTTATCTCTCCTCCTCTCTGCCCCCGGAGCTTTACCCAGTGCCGTAAAGCAGGTTACGCAAGTGTTACTATTCTCATACCAGCAAACTGGAGGCTCACAGAGGTTGTGGCAGTTACAAGGCCACACAGCATCAGGTCCAGGCATACAGAGTGTGGACTTCAAACTGGGTCTTAGGAGAGCAGACATCAGCCCCACCCCTACTGCGGTTTTCACTGGCCACGCTGCCTCTCTGTGGGAAACAACTCCAAACTGCCTCACAGGGAGCCCAGGGGGGTGCCAGGGACACCCACAGCTGTCTTGAGCCAGCCTGGTCACTGTGAGCAGGGAAGGCCGACATCTTTGGGGGCTACTGCCTTTAAACATATGTGTCCCTGGGGTGGCACTAGTGGGTAAGCATTCAACTACAAGATGAAAGGTTGGCGATTGGAGCGTAATCAGAGGCTCCCTGGAAGAGGCCTTTCCATCTGCTTCCAAAAGGCCACAGCCTTGAACACGCTGTGAAGCCTAGTTCTATTCTGAACACCTGGGCTCACTAGGCGTCAGAATCAACTTAACAGCAAACAACAATAAGAAACCCTGAAATGTTTTTAAAATAATGGTCAGTGAAGGCACTGGTTCCACGTACCTGCTCAGGCTATTCTTTGTAGATCCTGGGGGAGCTCCCGGAGCACTGCGCCTACATCATTATCTACGGGATGCCCACCTACTGGCTGGCCAACCTCCGGCCGGGTCCTGAGCCCTTCCTGCTGCACTTCCTGCTTTTGTGGCTGGTGGTCTTCTGCTGCAGGGTCATGGCCCTGTGTACCGCCGCCCTGCTGCCCACCTTCCACGTGTCCTCCTTCTTTGGCAACGCTCTCTACAACTCCTGCTACCTCACTGGGGGCTTCATGATAAGCTTGGACAACATGTGGACAGGTGAGGCCTGCTGACCCTCCCCACGGAGCTTCATGGGGTTGGATGAAGCCTACTCTCAGCTGGATAGGAGCAGCAGCCTGTCCAGCTGTCCTGTGCCCACGGGGAAGTCTCCATTAGAAGGTGCCAATGCCACCTTCTCATAGCCTGCAGCTGACACTTGGCCATAGCATTTGGCTCTCTTACTCCCTCAGTCTCTACTTTCACCAGCAAACCAGGTCCTGTTCTGCCTCTTATCAGTAGCCACGTGCCATCAGGCCAACTGTGACTCATGGCAACCCCATGTTTGTCAGAGTAGAACCGTACTCCATAAAGTTTTCAAAGACTGGTTGTTCACAAGGAGATCACCAGACCTTTCTTCTTTCACATCTGGGTGGACTTGAACCACCAACCTTTCATTTAGCAGCTGAATCTGTTGATCATTGGTACCACGCTGGGACTCCTGCCTCCCAAATCTTTCTGACATGTCCCCTTACTTTGTCCTCCATTCCAGGCCCCTGTCACCTGATGCTGAGCTGCGGCAGCAGTCTGGTCTCTACAACTCTGGTCCTCCTTGTCCTCACCCCAGGCAGTGGACTTTCTGACATGCAAATCCATGTAACTGTCTTGTTCAAACTCTGCGGGCGCTGCTCCTGCCCTGCTGACTCAACCCAGCTCTCTGACGTCTCCTGTTCACTCCCTGTTCTCATCTGCAAGCCTGCACCTACCTCTTCTCTGATGTTTCACTGCCATCGAGTCCATTCTGACTCACAGTAGCCTCATATGTGCAGGGTAGCACTGTGTTCCAGAAGGTGTTCAAGGCTTTGACTGTTTTTGGAAGCAGATTTCCAGGTTTGTCTTCCAAAGTTCCTCTGGGTGGGTTTGAACCACCAAACATTCAGCTGGTAGTCAGGTGCTTAACTGTTTGTATAACCAAGGACACCTGGCTCGTTTCTAAGACAATGTATTCCCCACCTTGTGTACTGTGAGCCTCTACTTAACCTGTCTTCGAGGCCTTTCTTAACTACCCCGGGGCATGGTTTATTGTATCCACCACCTAGGAGACGACTTCAAGACCTCTGACGGGGCTCTGACATGGCTGCTGAGTCTCCCATAGCCCATAGTTCTGAGCAGGGAGCATGTGGTAGGTGCTAACATGAGTTTATGAACAAACGAGCAGATGGACCCTCAGACACACAACCCCTCAGTTCCATCCCAGTGGCCTAAGTGGGCCCTTCTGTGCTCTCTGTGTTCTCTGTCCCCCTTCTTGATTTCACTGGTTCAGAGCTATCACAGCCCTCTCTCTATGAGACTTTCGGCCATGGTAAATGTGCAACCTCCAGGGGAGCAAGTGGGTCGGGTCCTGACTAAACCAACTCTCCCTGTCTCCAGTGCCTGCGTGGATCTCCAAAGTGTCTTTCCTCCGGTGGTGTTTTGAAGGGTTGATGCAGATTCACTTTAAAGGACGCACTTATTACCTGGAGATGGGTAACCTTACCATCCCCATCTCAGGAGATACAGTAAGTAGTGCAGGGGCCTCCTATTTGAACTCACATTTATTTTTCACGAAATGGGTGAACATTCACCTGAACGTTTTGAACTCACTGAAGATTTGTGCCTGCAGATTGTAAGTGCCATGAAGCTGAACTCATACCCGCTCTATGCCGTCTACCTCATCCTCATCAGCATCAGTGGCGGCTTCATCATCCTGTACTACTTGTCCTTAAAGTTCATCAAACAGAAGTCGAGACAAGATTGGTGATACCCACCTGCTGATGGGGGATTTGTGCAGACCCTCCAATTGCACTCCCTTCTTCCCAAGGAGCCCCTTCCTGGGGACAATTTGGACAATGATGATACAGATGCTCAGCTACATCCGGCTGCAGTGGCACAAACTAGCCACAGGGTGGTAGTAGAATAAAGACAGTCGAAAAGGATTTCTGCTCACTGGCCAGAGCTTGCCATTACCGGGCACGTGAAAACCTGTGGCACCCTACAGTGTTGCTAATTTATTTCATATTGATATGTGTGTGTGTGTGTGTGTGTATATGTATATATACATATATATATATATAGAGAGAGAGAGAGAATTTTGGAGAAATTATGTAAAAATTGAGTAGACTATACAGGAATAGATAGGGCCCAGAGGGAACAATAACATAGTAACTAGCCAAAGGTTTGGCCGCATTTTCCAGGGTCTCCAAATTCTGTGAAGCCCCTCTCAATACAGAAAGCAATCTTTTAAAACATAACAAAATGGCATCCTTCTTTTTGTGTGGAATATGGATTCCAAAACCTGTATTGAAAACATTTTGTATTTATTGAGCATCTATTCTGGTCCAACTACTGAGCAAAATGCTTTTCATGGGCGAGGCATCATTAAACTCTCCAAACAATGTTTTATAAAGTGAGGACACGGAGGCACATGGCTCCCCTATGTGGTGGAGACATGTAGGGGTCAGAAGAGCTCTTGAGGCCTTTAGTAGTTGGAGGGCGGAAGGCAAGACTTGAGCCATTGCCAAGGCAGCCCCTGCAAAGCATGGATGCCCAGGAATGCTCAAGAAGATGGGGAGAAGGGGATTATGGAGGTTAAGTCAACTCAAATCTCTTAGAACTGCATTTTACTGGTCTGGCAGGGTTTCAGGACCTGCCCCCACCCATTCACAGCAGGCAGGCATTGGATGGTAAGATGCATATTATGACTGAGGAAAGATTGTTTCCAAAGGAAAGTTAGAACCTGGAACCAAAAGTAAAGGAAAACAGGATGTTTGAGAGACAAATAGTAGAAGCTCACCACAGGCAAGACCTGGCAGCAAGCACCTGGGAGTTCGTCAGAATCTCAGGCCCACCCAGACTCCCCAAATCAGAATCTTCATTTTAAGAATATCCTGGAGGACTGGTGTACCCATTCAAGTTTGAGACATGTTCTAGCATGCTGCCCTGCTACAACCAAGCCACCAGTTGCCAGCAAGTCCGCAATGACTCAGTGATCCCTCTTTAACTTTTGGAGCCAGTGGCTCTCCATTCTGGGAACTTTCAAAGATGTCAGTGTGAACTCCCTTCCCCCAGAGACTCTGATTCAGCTGGTCTGGGTTGGCACCTGGGCATCAATTTTATTTAAAATGTGTCCCACCCCCCACCCCCCCGGGCATGTGAGGCTAGGGAAGGTGGGATGTTCTTCATCTTTTTATTGCATATAGTTTGAGATGTGTCTGTTTGTAAATACCAAAGGTAATGCTTTATTATCATTATTGATTGTGATAATCAAATTTGATGTGAACTTTTTCTGCTAAGGGTCAAATAGTAAATATTTTAGCCTTTGTGGGATATATAGTGTGCTGCAATTATTCAACTCGGCTCTTTTGTAGTAAACACAGTCATAGGGCATACACAAGAAGGGGTGGCTTGACTATGTTCCAAAGAAACAGTATTTATAAAAAATAAAATAAACAAAAAGTAGTGGCTCAATTTACTCTAAAGCTGTAGTTGGCAAACCCTGGATCAAAAGGCAAAGATTTTTAAATTTGCATTTTAAGCCCTCAAATGTTAAGAATAAAGACCCTCAACAGGATGGATGGTCATAATGGCTGCCACAAAGATCTCAAACACAAGAGTGAGGACGGAGTTACAGGACCGGGGAGTGGGTCCGTCTGTTGTAGATGGGGGTCACTATGAGTCCTGGTGTGGCGCTGTGAGATAATGCACTGGACCGCAAGGTCAATTTGAACCCCAGGGTCGGTGGTTCAAACTCACCAGCTACTCCTCGGAAACCCTATACAGGGTCGCTATGAGTCAGAAGCGACTCGACAGCACTTAACAACATGAGTCTGAAGTGACCTAAAGGCACCCACAACCAACAACAACAATTCCAAGTTATGTCATTGACTGGGAATTGTTTTGTTTTCACTTTTTTAAAATTGTGATTTGGGTGAAAATGTATGGAGCAAACTGGTTTTCCATTTAACAATTCCATTTTGTTTCTCGACTCTGATCGCAGTTCCCACAATGTGACTGCATTTTTCCCTACTGCCTCCCTGTGTTTAGCATTTCCCCTCCATGCCTTCTGAGCTTTTATCTCTGGGACAATTTTGCCCTTTTGATCATGTGATCTAATAAGTGTGTGCCTCCCTGGTGACACTTTTCATCTTCTAGGCCTGTTTGTCCTTTGGCTGAAAGTTGACTAGAATCACTGTGGGTGTGAGTTCATTTTCAGGCTTGACATGTGTCTCAGGGCCGTAGTCTTGAGAGTTTCTTCAGTCTCTACTTTAAGCGTGGTCTTTTTTATGATTTTGAGTTTTGTTCCCTAGTTCTCTCCCACTGTTTCCAAGACTTTCTAATGTGATCCCTCTCAGAGCAGTTGGCTGAGTTTGCACCATGAAGTTCTTCTGGTCTCAGGGTTGTGGAGGCTGAGGTTCACGTGTTCCATTAGTCTTTTGAACTAATTATTTCCTTACATCTTTGATTTTCTTCACTATTCTTTGCTGTGGATAGGGAGACACCAGTAGTTTGCACCTTAGATAGCTGCTCACCAACTTAAGATCCCAGTCACTACTCCCCAAAGTAAAATATAGAATATTGTCTTTCAGGGTTTCTTGTTAAGTGTCATTGAGCCAGTTCCAACTCACAGTGACTCTGTGTAGGGTTTCTAAGGAGCAGCTGGATTTTAATCACCGACCTTATGGTTAGCAGTCCAGTGCTTATCCTACAGTGACACACCAGGACTATCTTATGCCAATTGACTTTAGTGTCCCTGATTGGGGAAATTTTAATTAAGCAGAAAAAAATCACCTATATTGACTCAAATATTTACTGGTGTTATTTTTTTTTTTTTTACTGTTCTAGTTCTTAAAAGGAATCCTGGTGTGGCACCGTAAAATAAAGCACAGGACCGCGAGGTCAGTTTGAAATGCAAGATCAGTGGTTCAAACCCACTTGCTGTTCCTGGGAAATCCTATACAGGGTCGCTATGAGTTGGAACTGACTTGATGGCACTTACAACAACAGTTCTAATAAGGAGTCCTAATGTGGTACTGTAAGATAAGCACTGGACTGCTAACTGCAAGATTGGCAGTTCAAACCTACCAGCTGCTTCCTGGAAACCCTATACTCGCTAGTAGCCACTTGATAGCACATAGCCAGCCAGTTAGTTCTTAGTTTTCCTCTATGTTGTTATTAAGTATCATTGAGTCAGTTCCAACTCAGCAACTCTGTGTAGGGTTTCCGAGGAGCAGCTGGTGAGCTTGAACCACTGACTTTGCAGTTCAAACCGACTTTGCAGTCAAACACATTAACCCACAGCGCCACACCACGACTCCAGTGTTCCTATGTAGAGATTATGTAAATCACAATCATGCCATGGGTCAAACTAGTCTCTTTGGTCTGGTTCATAGAGGTAGATCTTGTATCCGACCGTCCCCTCCTGGGCCCCCAAGCTATTCTCGTCTTGATTCCAGATTTAACAATTTATAACTTGGAGTCCTGGTGTGGGGCTGTGGGTTAATGCGCTAGACTGCAAGGTGTGTTCGAACTACAAGGTTGGTGGTTCAAGCTCACCAGCCACTCCTTGGAAACCCTATATAGGTTTGCTGTAAGTTGGAACTAACTGTACAGCACTTAACAGCCATCACCACAATATTTAAGTCAACATAACATCCAAGTGTTAAGTACAGACCTAGAGTTAGGGGTTCTACTAAGACCCATTCATTTATAAAGGGGTTTAGCACAAGCTCTCTGCACCACTGCCTTTGGGAGCCCTGGCTTCACCCTGGGGCTGGAGCACCAAGCAAATTCTGAGGACGTGATCCAGAGGGCTGGGGGGCAGGGGAAGTGGTAAAATCTGTCGCTGGTTAACCCATGCTTATGCCGAAACATTTGTATTGACAAGAATTAGGTAATTCAAATTTCAAGCTATGTCATTCACTCACTTTTGTTAAAATGACTGGTCCTTTATTTCAAGCAATCTGTATATTACATGGTCTCTGAGGCAGCTTCAGTGGAGAGATAGGCAGGCTAAGCCCAGCCTAGAAGCCATGTGAGCAGCAGCAATTGAAACAATGATGTTCAAGCAGTGAGTTGAGATTTTTAAACACACACCAACTCGCTAGTTGGAGAGCACCTCCCAACCTCCTAGTAACAGTGCTCACATTTACTGTTTGCATGACTATCTTGTCTTTTTGTAAAACTGGATGTTTGCATTCCTGTTTCTCCAAAGTGCTCAAAGCTCTATTCCCTCCCTTGGTTAAAAAAATAACTCTTGATTTCCGGTTATCCCATATTCGCACAGACACCTTAAACTCATATTGAGCTCAGTTAAGTTCCATCTTGAGTTTCACGTTCTCAGCACACATTTGACAGCATTCGCCTCCTGACAGAAACTTGAAAATGCCTTTGTGTTTTGAAGGATAGCTCAGGTCTCAACCCCCAATGTCCTAGCTCTGAGCAATGAAGACAACACAAAGTGACATCTTTTAATCCCTTATGAAGCTTGCGTGGAGGACACCTTCAAATGTACATAAAAGCCAGTCTTAGAGCTTGAGCTGGGAGGGGGAAGAGCACGAGGCATTCTGGGTGCCCATCAGTGCCAGGCTCTGTTCTAGGCAGTAGGGTCTGCAGAGCCATGGGAGTGACCACATCCTTGAGGAGGAAACAAAAACCTTAATGAGGACACGTCCTGGAAGTACAGTGACTGAGCGAGCACCTGGGGGCAGGGTTGGTGAAGAAACTATTCTAGAGAGCCCTCTGACAACCAGTCTAACCTAATGTGCAGGGGCATTGGAGCTGTATTTGTTAAATGCTTTTGCTCTGCCTGGACCCAATTTTTCTTTTCTTCATTAAAAAAAGGAAAAAGAGACATGCCGATTTTGAATTTGCTAATGTATCCATTTTCTTTATTTGTACTAAGGCTTCATAATGTGGGCTGTGTAAAAGTCTGCAGGGCTGAAAGCAGGATACGTTTCTAATGGAAACACTCGCGCACGATTGTCCAACAGTAAAGGAGAGATTACTGTGATTGTGTGCCCCTGCAGCTACTAGTTTAACTGTACCTTGGGAATGTTGCTTTTATTTTTAGAAATTCTGCAAATACTGTTTTTGAAAGAAAGACACATATTAAAGTGTGTCCAATTGCAAAGGGGTGTGGAGCACCCATGTTATAGACTTAAGAAAGAAACTGTGCCAGGAAAGACAATTTGTAATATAAGCTAGAATCTATGAACTTGGTGATGCCCGGCGCTGGCTAGTTGCAAGGTGTCCTGGGATTTTGTTGTCACAATCATTGCTACGCTTGAGCTCATTCCTGCCACTGTGCCAATTCATCTCTTCGAGGGTTTTCCTCTTTTTCTCCAACCCCACCTTACCAAACATAGTATCTTTCTCCAGGGACTGGTACTTTCTGCTAATATGTCTGGAGTATGAGAGACGAAGTCTGGCCATCCTGGCTTCCAAGGAGCACTCTGGCAGCACTTCTTTCCAACAGACCTGGCTTTTCTGGCACAGTCCATGATACTTTAAATACTCTCCTCCAACACCATAACTCAAATGCATCAATTCTTCTATGGTCTTCCTTATTCACTCAGTCCTGGAAAAGGGACCCCTTATATTAACTTGTGACAGGATACCAATTTGACTTTTACAGTTTGGGCATGATTACGCATAGCTATGACTTGACAGGTGACAAACTACTATGATTTGGGGTAAGTCTTCTCAGATGAATGGTTGCCTCCCACAGATGTTTTGCTTCCACAGGACTGACTACAAGCCTTTGCCAGGATGGTGCTGGCTGTGGCACATAGAATGTGGGACAGGGAACCAGCCCTCAGGGTGCCTACAGTCAGGTGTGGGAGACAGCCAGGAGCTGATACCTTTGCTAAAGTGACTGTAGTCCTCCTGGAGAGAGGACAGTTCATCTGCTGGCTCAGGACCAGGGCCCTGAGAGAGCAGCAGCTGGAGAGGTGATATTAATTAATGTGGGACTCAGTGAGCCTTCAATGGCTCTGTAGTATAAGCATTGGACTGTAATCCAAAAAGTCAGCAATTTGATGCACCAGCTGCTCCGTGGTAGAAAGATGAAGCTTTCTGCTCCCACAAAGATTTACAGCCTCTAGAACCCTACACAGGGTCGTTCAACAATAGTGAGAATTCAAGAAGGGAAAAGGAAGTGTCCTGGAGACCCATGTGTGTGTTAGCAAAGAACCTGGTCATCTGTGCAGGTCGAAAATGTTCCTTCCAGGAAACAGACCCCTTCATTTGTCAGACATCCAAACTGTGTTAAAAGTCTCGCCAACTGTGCACCTCAGAGAACTCATCTTAAATATCTGCAAATTCTTCAAACAGGAATCCCTGAATAGCACAAATGGTTGCTGAGTCTGAATCGATTAGATGGCAACTAATTTGTTTTATTAAATAAAACCTTACAACTGGTAAAGCAGTTGATTTCATTTGTTTTCAACATAAAAAACGCAAGCCATTTTTAAGAATTACACTCCGGCCACAAACAGGTTTGTGTTTCATTGAAACCTTTTATACTTGAGTCCATGAAATGGCCTAAAGCAATCATGCAGAAATTTGGTAAAATGAAAACAAAGAATCCCATAGATTTTCAGGGAATATTTTATTCCAAGCATTTCATACTAAAATCATAAGAGGTTCAAATACATGAATGTACAATTCCATAAAAGACTATGCTTTCTAAAAGTTTACAGTGTTTACTCTTTAGAATTAGCTGTTTGCTTATAATTGAGTCTTTAAAATTAATTAAAGTGTCGCTACTTCTGGTGTGGCACTGTAGGGTCTACAGACCACAAGGTTGGCAGTTCAAACCCACCAGCTGCTCCTTGGAATGGTCGCTATAAGTGGGAACCAACTCCATGGCACTTAATAACAATATAATTTTATAATGACTCCATATATTTCTTTCAATTTGTCCTAGATATTTAGAAAGCACCCATAATCTCACCTAGAAATACATTCAGAAGGGGACACCAATACAATGTTACATATCTCTAACTAGATATTTGCTACTACACATACTTAATGGCCCTAGCTTGCTGTTTAATATGCTTGGTGAGGGATTTTTATTTGATTTCTTCTGCAGTACCCCCATGTTTTACCAGAGTCAACAGTCATCATTAAAAAGATGATGTATCCACTCTTCATTCTCTGAGGGAAAATCTCTCCCCATATAAGGGGTGAGAAGAAGGTGGTCACTGAAATCCAAAATATTGGTAGTCACCCACATCCAAATGGAAAAGGAATACATAAAATGGGGATAATTTGCAAATGAGGAATTGTTAGCCTTTTTGGTAATTAATGACCTAGTCCCTAAGTAGATCAGTAGTAAGACACTTACTGGGAACTTGTCTTGGCTACCCTCATCTTAAAAACTGGCAGGGCACATTTTTTTTTTAAAGTAACTACTTGCAAATTAGACGTTAACAGGTTGGAGTCAATGTGGGGATGACTTTAATTCATTAAAATTGAATTAATATATTTATGATTTATAATTTAATTAATATATATTTCCCTTCTTCATGTAGGAAATCACACTCACAGGGTATGAACATAAATTAGCTTGTCCCAACAAAGACCTGGAGCCTCTGCCCTGTGCCACGGTGACCAGTTTCAGAAATGTCAGTGAACAAAGGCTCCTGAAGTGGCGAGGAGGAATGCCAAGGAGCCACCAAGCCTAGCTAACTACATGCTGACCCGGGGCAAACAATTCTCAATGGAAAATGAAGGGTGAATTTGATGACATCTAAGATGCTTTGCGCTCTAACATTTAATGAAATTTGAGAATTATGCAGAGCTATCCTGCGCTGCAATGAGCTCTGGTAGCGTAGTGGTTACGAATCAGGCTGCGAACTGCAAGGTCAGAAGTAAGAAACTACCAGCTGTTCCACGGGAGAAAGATGAGGCTTTCTGCTCCCGTAAAGATTTACAGCCTCAGAAACCCTGGCAGGGTTCGCTATGAGTTGGAATGGACTCCACAGCACATAGCAACAACAACAACATCCTGCGCTGAGGGTTAATACGCTGGGCTGCAAAATCAGTTTAATGCGCTGGACTGCAAAGCTCACCAGCCACTCCTCGGATACCCTATACAAGGGTCGTTATAGGTTGGAAGCAACTCAGTGACACTTAACAACAACATACATATAAGGAATTGTTCTATCATAGAATATTCAGAATTCATTAGGAAGTTCATTGGGCTGGCCTGTTCAAAATTTTCAGATAAACAACATTAACAAGCGGGTTTATTATTAAAGGAGCAATATTTTTGTTAAAATAATCAATGAAACAGAGAAGCAGCAGTGACAATTCAACTGGGAGATTCCTGACAAATGACGGCTTCATACACCAGGAACATCAAAGGAAATGTTACAGACTTCTGTTGTCGCCAGAAACAAAAACGTCTGGTGACTAAGTATACACTGCTGAACAGATCAGCTATTACAAGTAAATAAAAGTACATAAACAAATTAATTTTTCATTCATTAATTTTATTCCCCCCTCAAAACACATTTAAAAAATAACATTTTAAACACAGAATCACAAATGTACATAAAACAAAGTAGAGCCTGCACATTTCACAAAGGGCTTTCAGGGCTTTCCTTTGATTCCTTCAACTGCTTTATGTAAAACTCAAAGCTTTCCTGTTGAGAGAAACAGGAAATGAAGTTACAGGTAAAGTTACAAGCAAGAAGTTATGGTCCTAAACTTAAAATCGTAAAACACTGTAAACTGGTAGCTGGGCGTGCCCCTGGCAAACCCCATTCCCTGAGGCTCAGTACTCCTTCCAGTCATGTTAAATTGGGCACCCAGTGCCCAATGCAAGCAGGCATTTCCCCACTGGGTGGAAGGCTGAGGTATCTGCACATGGTCAGTTCAACAATAAAAAAGAATACTGATTTATTTTACCAAACAAAACAAAATTCCTTGATGGAAGAATTAAGAACAAATTGATATTTTAAATGTAACAGTAATTAATAGCTGCATACAAGGGAGTTTCAAAAAGTGTGTGGAAAAATTTCATTATTTTTTAATTCCATTTTTCCACAAACTTTTTGAAGCCCCTTCGTATATGCTTAGCTATTAATATGAAGGCGATTAGATTTGATGTAAGTTGAAATGGACACTTGACAAAGCCATGCTTACAGGTGAAGGCCTTTTATAGCCCTTGTATTTTAATCGTAACCCCATGGGGCCATGGTCTCCCAAAGACAAACTCAAGGCCCGACTGCTCAGCCCTGAACCAACAAATGCTCTTCTGTTCTTCAGAGATCTAATCCTCATGAATTAAACATACAACTTACTTTTTTTTTTTCCTACCTGTGATTATGAAGCAGACACAAGTCTGTAAAGGTATTTCCCCTTTTAATTAACCAATACTCACAGGGGGCTCAGTGAATGGGACAGGCTCTCCAGCACTCTTCAGCAAAACTGCATAACGCTTTAGAAACAAATCATTCAATTTTACATCCTTGGCAGTCAAACGTTCATACAATGCTTTAGCAGAGGTGACATCTTTGTCCAGGGCTGAAGAAAAAGATATTATCAGAAAAAGACAATCTTGTTTCCCTAAAGCACCGTCCTTGAAGGACTCGTGGATCCCTTTATCTCAAAGCAAATGAATGCTTAACTACCTTCAACAAGAAGCCCAGCTTCCCCCCTTCCCAACACCCTGATTCAGCATCATCCACCGTCGAGGGAAATGGTAAATATGCTGTATTTATAGGGCTTCAAATAACATGATGGCATTATGTGCATAAATGAGCGCACTACTTTGGAGACCACGGTATTTACAATTGACCAGGGACGGAGTACAGACCCTACCTCTGCCTCATGTCACACTGTGAAATCCGAAAATCAATACAATTTAAGGAGGCTGTGGTGGGGTCCTGCAATTATGCAGAAAACTACACATGCAACATTAAGATCCCAACATCAGAAAGACCACAGACTTTCAAAACAGTCTACTATTATAAAATAAATAAATGTGAGTAATATAGTTAGCTACAACAGCAGGAAACCTGTAAGGAAACATTTACGAGTCACGCTAACATTGCACTTCAATGAATTAAGAAGCAGCCTAAGTTTAGGTACTAAGTTTAGCCAGTTCTCCATTATTCAAGAATAAAATCTTCTCAGGGTAGCTAATTTGCAGGAATTTTGCGTTTAAGTTTATTGCCAAGGTAATAGGATTCTACTACAAATACTCACTGTTGGCAACTCCTCTCTAATTCTGCATTAACTCTTGAACAGTGAAGCATCCTAACAAACTGGTGCCCTGTATAAGCATCCTCTCCCAGCAGCTCAGGGGTGAGCACCTAGGAGGGCTTAGAGAGATCATTCCCAAAGGGAACAAGGGTGACTGAATTGCCAGCTCTTAAGGGAATGAGAACATGTACTGGAAGTTCTTTATTCCCCACCCCACCCCCCACTCCCTTTCCCCCAAGGTCCAAATCCTGTCCCTACTACCTGCCAAGGGTCCAGTCAAGCTTTATGATTCCCTAGAAAGTGGTTTAGAAAACTTTGTAATCATCTTCTTCACTCCTCTCTGAGTGCCCTGCTCCCGCCCCTCAATTCCCAAGTAGTATTACATAATTTAGTAGTGACATATATAGTAGGAAACTGACACTATTTTATGTTCCTGATTATTTTATATCTGCCAGTTTCCAAACTGGAACTTTAAGACAGTTTATGATTATCTCTATTATTTTGAAATACTTAATGTAGTCCTTATAATGGTGGAAAAAGGAAGAAGCAATTTACTAATTCTGACCGCATAAGCTGTTGTCCTGCCAACAATAAAATCAACAAAGCAAATCTGTTTATCCCAGCGCCTCATGTGAGCAAAACAGTGGGCGGCAGATGGATAAGTGACCAGGCCTTAGAAATACTACCACTGATTTTGATTACCGAGGAAACTTTGCACTTGTTTCCTTCTGTATGTATGTGATTATCCGGCAATCAGATGCTGAAAAAGACTGGAATTACTCATTTCAACTGGGATTTATTTATGGTAAAACCCTGGGGCCCAGAGGTAGGAATGGAGGGCACTGAGGGGCAAGAAGGTGAGCTGAGTGATAATTTCAAATATGCACCTACTTCATGTTACATTTCAGAACTGCAGGGCCTTGTGGGGACTGAACTGGTTTTCAATATGCAAGTCCAAGAGGATGTCTACGTATGTCCAGGAGCCTGGGATCCTATTTAGACACACCTGGGCCCCTCTGAAGATCCTCAGTGATACACTTTCATTTTAAAGCGATGGGGAAAAGTTCATGTTGAGCTAAAGACTTACTTAGTTTACTACTTGTACTATGCATATTTCAATCACTTAAATAATAGAGTCAGATTTAACTTATTACCATAGCTTTTCATGATGGAAGTATATGCTTCTTCTTTTTCAATTAATTCAGGAATCAATTCTAACAAAGATTTCATAGCTGGTGCCTAGGAAATTAAACACAGGTAACATTATCACAAACAGAGAACAGTGAAATAAAACACTAATACAGTGACATCATATCAGAGTATCTTTTTGACAATAATTACAACAGAAATGCCTACTAAATTCCACGGACTTTTTTTCCGTCTTTATATTTGATGTTGGTTCAGTAATTTCTAGCCAAGGGCAGCTAGTATTTTTAAAAAGTTAATAGGATTACGTTTAGATTTCTGTGAACATTTTTCTAAACTATTATCATGATGGTTTCTTTTCTGTCAACTGAAGCCCATATTAAAAAGCTATGAGATTCCCAACGACAGAAGAGATAATATTTGTATCTGCAGGCAACAACATTTTTATATGAGATATGAAAAATTCAGTAAACATTTGAAGTTGTCCCACTTGGTCTATAAACAGAGCACTTCCAGGCTGACTGGAACGTAAATTTAGCTGCTTTCAGTGTGATGTACACACAGCTCTGTTTTATTCCCTCTAGTGATTACAGAACTGCAACACTCTAAAGAATAAACACAGGACACTTATAGACACACTCCAGTGTCACTGGATAAATCGATGGTAAATCTTAGATACATCGGTGCCCTGTTCTCACCATGAGAATGAAGTTTGGCTTAACTGCTGTACTTTCAAACACCTAGATACTGTAACAGCCATCTTTTAAAATCCTACGTTGTTCAGTCCCTACCTGAATCTCATTTCTACAGGAACGCCTGCATTTCAAAGCCTCCTGGGAAGCATGTCCTGAGCAGATATACATTAAATTACTGCACGTTTCCAGGACCCTTCACAAGCAGGGCAGTAGGAACTTGGCCAGACCCAGATGTGGACCGACAGGTGGATTTTTTTATACTTTTATATCACACAATTTTGGAAAAGGGCTCATTGACAGGAAAAAATCCAAACAAACAAACAAAACCCAACTAAATATTTTCTAAAGGTTGATTGTTGTAAATACAAAAATGAGGTAAATTTTTAAATGTTTCCTTTCGTATGTGATTGGCAATTAGGGATAATCAGTGTGTGGAAATAAAGAAAATTTGAGCGTCAAGACTAGTGTGGCACTGTAGGATCAGCACTGGGCTGCTAACCACAGGTCAGCAGTTCAAACCCACCAGCCACTCCTTGGAAACACATTTACCGAGGAAACTTTGCACTTCTGTGTAAATAAGTTAAGTGTGCAAACTGAAAGCATCAATTTGTGACACCTTACCTTGTTTGCACTAGAGTGTGTATGTGTGAACTAAACGGAGCGATGTCCTCCTGTTTTTGGAACCGACTCTATGGCACTCAACAACGACGACAACTCATTTTAAAGGTAAATGGCCCAGCTGCGTGATGGTGTGCACTTGGCACATGGTTGGCAGGAGACACTTGCTGGTATGAGTGCCCCTTGGTCATGCGCTGTGCTATTCCACGCATTAGTAGCCTAAAAGGCACGCTTCCATTTTCATTCCCACTCTGAGGGCTCCCAGGACACAGCCACACAGACTCCACCAATACCCTAATAATGCAGGTAAGTGTGTAGGGGCAAGCCTGTAAGTGCTATGTTTTACATATGGTCCTGAACCAACACACTCCGATGGGAAACCCAATGTCTTTGCAGGCCCACTGCTCAGCCAGCAGGGAGAGTACAGTACCTTTCCAGGTGTCCGAGAAGTCCTGACACAGAAGACCGACAAAATGGGGGTTTGCTCAGCAATTGCACCACATCTCTAAAAATTAAAACAGTATTCAGCGAATGAAAACAAGTTGACCAAGGTGAATGTTTCCAATTAAGAAAGTTCACAATACTCCAGTAGTGTATCATTATCCATAGGAAGGCCTAATAGTTGACCTTTTTCTTTTTTTTTTAAAGCCTGAAGAAAGAAAACAAGTGCCAGCTGTGCCAAGGTTTGTGACCGCTGTCTTTGGCACTGCAAGTATAAAGTTTGTTTTTAAAGAAAAAGGAAAAATTAAACTCATGCTTCAACCACCACAGAATAAGGTTTAGGATGGCAAAGAAAGAGGGAAAAAAGAAATACCATTCCTCTCCAATTATACTGCCAAGCATTCACAAGTGAGCTAGGGATCATAAGGTTAATTATACATTTAATAAGGTGTCAGGGAGATAACTGCTCGTTTCTTTATAAAAATTAAAATGTACAAAGCAAGTTCTCTTTAAAGTATAATTACCTACACTTATGCATACAAAAGGACTGATTTCAATCTCTCTATTTTATAAAAGGCTTTCATTGCAACAGACAGCCAGTGCTTGAGAAAGAGACAAAAGTTAAACTGAAAAAAAAAAAAAGTTTATATGACAGACCAGATAAATCAAGTGTCTATCCAATCTTAGATGCTATAGTAAAATCAAATATGGCAAGACAATATTTTAGTTTACTCCCATCATAGATGTCATTCTCATAAGTTTCTAAGAGCACATTGCTCTTTCAAAGCTTTAAAGCACTGTCAATACTAAAACGAATAGTATAAAAAGAACTTTTGGGGACACACAGAAGATTTACATTATAAACTGATGTTTTCGACATCTGTGAATAAAGTATTCTCCACTACGGCAAAAAAAATGGCTTACTGTTTGACAAGCAAGTAAAGGGTGGGCAAAGAGTTTATCATCTGAAGCCTCTCTACTGAAGGGGTGAAAATGAAAAGAATGCTGTGGCTGCATCCACAGCCAGCTGTCATCAAGAGCCCCAGACGAGGCCACTGTGAGCAAAGGCTGTACACGGAGGGCAGTAGCAATACTCCTGCTTTCTCCCACCCAAAGCGGCTTATCAATCAGACCTCTAATATTAAGAGTCTAGAAGAGCAGGGTTCAGAACAATGGGGTAGATGAAGTAAAGTACCAACAGCCACTTTCTATCAAAATGATGGGCTAAAATGGAGTGCGTATTACCACCACCTGTGTATTATATACCAAAGGGTCGGAATAGACTCGACGGCACTTAACAACATTATACAAAGGGGCTTCAGAAAGCCTGTGGAAATTTTCCAATAGCTACCTTTTAATTCTGAACTTGTTTTTATTGAACTTTTTGACAGCCTCTTATGGAGTCCCATTGTGGACTGCTAACTAGAATGTTGCTGGTTCAAATCTACCAGCCACTCCTTGGAAACCCTATACAGGGTTGCCATGAGTCTGAACGGACCTGACAGGACTTAATAACAACATGCATCTATATACTTATACTGTTAATAGTTATTAGATACATACACATGTAGATAAGGCATAAGAATACTATCCTTGCACGGGTACAGCTTTTAACAATAAAAACAGTTGTGAGATAAAGCAATGAGAAGATTCTTGAAATCCCTACCTAAAAGGGCTTCAAAACACTTACGGGGAAATTCCATTTCTTTCTATTCCATTTTCTCATCAACTTTTTGAAGCTCCCCCTCATATCATAAACTATCTTTCTCGTCTTTTAAAAAAAGAGGAGGGGAAAAAAAAAAAAAAAGTATGCCAACTAAACTAAACCAGGAAAGACCTAAACAACAGAAATTTCTCTTCAGGAAGAATCATGAAAAGCCTTTCAAAGGCGGGAACAATTTATACTTTTCACAAAACTTTCAACATCTAGAAAATTCTCAGGAAAGCTTTCTTAAGATGCTTGAATTCCACTGTCAGTTTAAATGAACTTTAAGGGTGGAACCAGAGCTCCAGAGAATGGGTGCAGTTGTAAGTTCCCGATCTACTACTTAAGGTATTTCGCAGCTGGTAAAAATGTAAGTGAGTATTATACTATTTACTATCAGCAATTGGTCCCCGGCCTCCATTTGACACAGGGAGTCTACACAAACACAGGCGTTGGCGGGCTCACCGGGACTGTTTGACTGCCACCTGCTGGGAAGGAGCTCCCCAGCGGTGCCTGTTTGTGTACACTGCCAGTGGCAGCTCCGATCACCCACCGTTCTGTCGGCACTTGGCGCAGCTTTCTATTTAGTGCTGTTAAAGTGGCATGAATGCAGTTGTCTCCTTCCCTGAAGATTGCTAATTTAACTGAGAGTGCAGGCCACAGAGACCTGCATTTGTCATTTAATGTGTCTGTGACACACAAGTGAATAGAAAGCAAATTCAACTCTTAATAAACCTTGAATAAGGCAAAGAGAATGTTTGAGTATTCAAGTGAGAAGCTGTACTTGAAAAGCAAACATTTCCTACTTTTTGTTTGCAAACTGTGTTGCCATGGTGATGCACAGTAGTTAGAGCATTAGAAGAATTAAAGTAGGAAATCAAAGGAATTGTTGCTTTGCGTTACCTATCTGCACAGAAGTGTTTGTCTTTTAATTGTTTCAGGCAAGCATGTCCTCCCACCCCTAAGAAAAAAAATTCTAAGGACTGTTCAAGTCTGATCTGGCAGCTTTAAAACCAGCAACCCACAGACTACAATTCAGTCCTTGTCATGCATCTTGATTCATAATCAATTGAAAAGTGCTAGCAGTCCCACACTTCATTTCTGGGATTCTATCTAATAATTTCCCAATTTACTCTCACAAGCGTCAAGCCCTACTGCACCAAGGCTGGTGGTGGTTCATACCTGTAGGAGGGCTCTGGCATCATCCACCTTGCCTGAATCCACAAGCTGCAGGAAAAGATCAGTGACAGGTTTGTAAACTGCAAACTGATTGGCCAATCTCTCTGCCATGATGCTTACTGGAAAAATGATAAGTAAGAAAAATCTTTTGTTAAAACAGGAGATAAGTCATCCACCAAACAAACTTGGAGTCAGTCTCACAAGACAGAAAATGTGCCCTTTGGCAAGAACAACTAACTTACTCTTTTCCATTGCCGGCTCCAATCGCTCCTCTATGACTCTTCTGAATAAGTATGCTAAACCAAAGTACTGGGGTTCCACGGTTGGATTCCCTGAAGTAAGCATACTTTCAAGGTTTTCTACTGCCACATCTATGTTATTGCTGTCAAAGAGAGTGAAAAAAATTACAAAGAGGGACTTACTTTTGTACAAATATTTCAGTTTCAGTATGAGCATTTACTTTTGAATTCACTCATGAGAACACATTAGGAAAAGAGGAAATATATTGATGGATAACTGTGTAAAATACACCATGCAACTAGAATCCAACCACATTTAGGCAGTAAAGCAATCACTACATGGTTTACAGAGAAGATGAAGCAACAGTTGAAGTAGTTGTGTACTTTAAAGTATTCTTCTAGAAAGAGACAAGATCAAATAATTATACATAGAAGACTTAATAAAGATTTTAAAAAAGAGTGTATCTTAATTTAACTTGATTTTGCAGCTTTTTGGATATAACATTAAAACCTGTTACATGTCACAATTTTGGCCACTACTATACGAAGTAAGAATAATCTATCTCATCTTAGAATTCTTAAAAAGCTGATAGTTATTTTCACAAAAGTTTACTTACATGTCTCCAACCTGCAGTTCTATCAAATTCTTTTTTTCACATATTACACAGCATTTGAAAACACAATTTATACTACAATTCTCAGAAAAGTTTCTTTTGCATTTTATACTGGGGGGAAAAATTCAATTACTTAACAAGTTATGAAAAAAAGATCTTTATAACCATCTTTTTGTTTAATGTAGTATCTAATTGATGCTTTAATAATCAATTTTATGTTAAATTAGTACATAAAATATAAAAGTATTTTTATATTTTAGATGAATAAAAATATTCATCTAACAATGAATACACAGTTATAAATTTTATTGTAAGTTTTAATTAGAGAATTATTCCTCAGTGAATAAAAATATAACCCTCATATTATATAGAAATTATTATTTTCAAATTCATCCACACCTGATTTGTAGAATTTCTTTTATCTTCCAACTTAACACAATTACATTTTCTTTATAAAAATGGAAAGTTTATAGTTCTATTTGGGGAAATAGCTTTAAAACATAAAAGCAAAGTAAAACAAAACAAAAAACCTGACCTTTCACCCAAAGAAACAAGAACAAAATAACCCTTCAGAAACAGACATACTGTGGTATCACAGCACATGAAGTACATACCAGACTAACTGCTAAAGAGCACAGTTTTCTATTCCCCAGAATCTCTAACTTACCTGATCCCTTCATTATGGAATGATTTTTTGTTTGTAAAATTTATAGATGTATGTAAGTTGAATCACGGAGGGTTTTTAAAGTTTTGTTAGGTTTGATGGATGTGGATAATTATGATGTGAGACACAGGCCTGAACAGATTCTGGTGGTTGGATAGGTGGGATGAGGCATGGGAAAAAGTCCCTTGAAGACCTTGAATATCACCTCATTCTGAAGACTGCACCTTCTTACTAACACCCAAGAAACAGCAGATATACTTACAAGTCTTATCTTGCTGTATTAGGAGCCCCAAAGACAAATTACACACTCTTCCATTTCACAAAATAATGTCTCAATACAGAAATGTTTCTCCAACAAACTTCCTTCTGTTTTATGCAGCTAGGCAAGTGCCTGCCCCATGGCCCGCAAATGTGAGGTAGGAAGTGGGGAAAACCTCCCGAGAATCCCCAGAGGAACTGTAAGTGGTACTAAAATGTACCTACCACAGGTTATCATAGAGTTAAGCAAAGTACTGTGCTAGTGAGGTTAATAAAAAAAAATCAAGTCCTAATTAACCTCCAGGAGTGGTTCTCTACGAGGAATCCTTGGCATCCCCTGCAGATACCTTCCCTCTTTTGTGGGAGTATGCTGACAGAAGGGATTGGAGCAGGAGTCGGGAGTATGGGCAGGCATTATTTTGAACAAACTTGCTGGGACCTCTGTTTCACAATATTCCAACTGGAAAGTATTACTAATAAACAAATGAGCTCATTTCTCCTTTTTGTAACAAACTGTTTCTATAACCAGCCACCTAACATATGCAACTTATGAATGAAAAAAGTTGGCAAATGTGAAGCAGTTCTAAGAATCTGCTAAATCTATTTCTTCTTTTATTTAATTTACAGTAGAAATTTTTAAACAAGTTATTCCATAATGACTAAAAGATTTAACAAGTGGTGTGCTAATGTTCCTTCCAAACAGCCAAGAAAGGAAGAGAAAGTTCAAATATACTCACTTCTTTATTTGTGCCAAAGCAATGTTATTGATGAAAACCATGTTTGAAAGTCCAATCGAATTCTCCAGTCCATTTACCATCTTCTGAATTGTGTGGATGCTTTCCACATCCCCCTTCAGGGCAAACGCCTGTATCAGGCGAGTCACCGATACCCTAGAGGGCAACTGATCTAGATCCAAGGCAGTTTTTAACGTTGACAGACCATCTATGAGCAAGAGACAGAGCTTTCTTGTAAGTCCACACTGACTTTAATGCTTTTGAAAGCTACCTTTAACAACATATAAAGAAATGGTTCTACACCAAAAGCTATTTTATATTTTAATATTTATACATTTCTATATAAAATATTTAATATTTCTATATAAAATATTTAGTATTTTACATTATTTTATATAATACAGAGCACTGTATTCTGTATTATAGAAAATATTAACATTTAATGACAACTCTAACCCACACACATATATAATGATCTGTTTGACTATAAGCTATTAGAAACCAGAGAAATTTCAAGTCACAGGTAAAAGAAAATACAAATGTTACTGATAGAATGTAGGATTACATTCGAGGGAATGTAGTTTCCTTGTGGAGTCCTGGTGTGGCAACAAAGGATAAGTACTCAACCTCAAGGTCAGTGATTCAAACTCACCAGCTGATCCTTGGAAACCCTATACAGGGTCACTATGAATTGGAATCAACTCGACGGCACTTAACAACAGCAAAAATTTCCTTGTAATTTCAAGTCACTTACCAAGTTCAGGGGAAAAAATACAGAAGAATTTTTTAAAAGAAAAAAGTTTCTAGGAATATGTAATTTCCATCCACATTCATATTTTCTGGATTTTATTATGTTTAACGAGATTATCAAACATTTCTAATATCCTCAAGATTCTTTCTTGAAAACAATACAGCTTCCTAGTCCAAACAGGACTGACTGTACAGGAGAACAGCCAGACTGGACCTTTCGCACTAGGAAACTTAACTTTCATAATAAATGACCTTGCGGATACTTTCTTGCATTCATTTTACATAGAAAACAAAATTCACCTGATTTGGTGACATAGCCCAAAGAGCAGTATTTGATTTTTTAAAGTACACCTAGAGATACGAGATTATGGATAAATGTGAACTAGCTTGCTTAACTGACGCAGGTACAAGTGTAGCAAATTCATTACATTAAGTAGATGGCAGATTGTGGGGGAAATGCAACACAGCACAACCACCATCAAAGAAAACTCTGTGGCTTTATAATATAACCTTAAAGTAATGTGATCTAGACACAACCAAGGCTTTCAATGCAGCTTTCCAAATAGGAACAGTTATCTTACGCAGGAGGAGAGGGTAATAATTAAACAGACTGTTAGTGAAAGACGTAATTAATTCAGTGTTTATTACTGAATAAATATTTGATTCATAATTATTCCAAATCTATACTCTAAACATTGATTCTCAAATTGGGAAAAGGGAAAATAGGTAGTTTAATAACATAGTCAATAAAATTTTATAAATACATATTAACTTACATGAGACAAAAATATTGACATTATTTTAATAATATCTATAAACAATAAGCTTGATAAAATCTTTAACACTTGTGGGCATGCACAGATAATCAACTTCTGAATATCATTACTAGCCAAGAAAACTGTTCTTCCCTCAAATGAATCAAAATAACAACAACAACAAAAAAAACAATGAAGATAATCTTGGTAATGAGCACTTAACTAGATGCCAGGCCTAGTTCTAAACTGCCACACTCACAACTATTTGGAGGCAGGTCAGATTATACAGATGAGAAAACGGAGGCACAGAAAGATTAAATAATTTACCCAAGGCCACCTGAGAGTCCAACCACCCCAGAGCTGGCATCTATGGGTGTGCGTGTGTGTGACAGAAAGAGGAGGACTCTATCTTCCTATGTCTATCCAAAGGCAGAATGGGACATACTCTCATAGAGGACTTGCCTTTGGCACAGTTTAAGGAAGGCCAAAAGCAGTACCCATCTCTCATTCTTTACCCCTACTTTTTTTTTTCAACTCTCACCTAAGTCCCACATTTATTTACTCAATTACTCACAATTGATCTCGACTATATTGCATAGGGGCTATGAATCAGCTATTAATATTCTAGAGTATTTTACTTTATGAAAATAGACTAAAATTTTAATTGACTTTATTTTTCTTCCTATTGTAGATGAGGTTGAGAAAAGAAACCTGAAAGAGAGAACAGAAGGGATTTTAAAAATTAAGAGCTCTAGTGAGCCATGGAGCAAAATAAGATGACAGGAATAGGGCCAACATCATGGTCTCCTGGCAGGTGATCACTGTGAGGAGAGGTGCGGGTGTACATGTGTGAGAGAGCCTCTGCTTGCACTAACCGGCTGAGAAGAGCAGATGCAAAATTTCATCATATACATTTTGTAGTGGCCACAGTACAGATGGTCTCCTGCTGTGGCGCTGTGGGGTAATGCACTGAACTGAAAGGCCAGTATGAACCACAAGGCCAGTTTGAACCACAAGGTTGGCAGTTTAAATTCACCTGCCGCTCCTTGGAAACCCTGTACAGAGTCCCTATGGGTCAAAACTGTCTCGATGGTACTTAACAACTGTGCAAATAACACACAACTAAAAGATGACAGCCAAGTTAAACAAATTCAACTCAGCTAAAAAAAACAAAACCCTTTGAAATGAAAAAATGTTTTGTTCTTATTTCTGCATCTACAGAAACGTAAACTAAAATTAGTTTATTTTCATGGACAACAAATTTCGTTTTTCAATGCATTTAATTTGCTCATCATTTCAACATAAATATCAACTTGACAAAAAGTTTTTTCTAATCCTGGAAATAAAACTAAAGCTTTAAAAAGTTTTAACAGTAAGCCTTACCACACTCAATTGTGACTAAAGGCCGCCTAAAAAGACTGCCTGGATGGGCTGGTCCTGCCTGTGGAATGTGGAGGTGGCTATTTTGCAAAGGGAGAAATCACCACTTAAGCGTTCAGTCCTGATCAAATTAGGGAGATGGACAAATTCTACTGTGATGCCATTTTACAGACAATACCAAATCTGTGATTAGGTTATTTCGGGAAACACTAAAGAAAGACAGCACTTTTCCAGCAATGTGAGATTATTTAAGAATGTGCACATGAGGAATAAGTCCGTTACTACAAACGGAGGAAAAAACAAGCGACAGCCAAAAGAATGTTTTCAACCTTCCTTCTGAAACAGCTCTTTCTCAGTGGGTCTTACTGTATTGGTATTACCACGTTGACTAAAATTCAACCGTAAAAGTTAATGTGAAATGATACTTCCCTAAATTTTCTCTCTTGGGAACTCACTTATAGGACGACCTCTAGATTCCACTGCAAACCCATATGTAAACAGTCTCTACAAAACAAGCGGCCTCCAGACTAACACTCCCCAAACTTGTTTCCACGTCTTTCCGATGTTGCTCTCTTAGTATTAACTTAAAAACTCTTACCCAAACAAATAGTGTGTTTTTATTGCTGTTGGTATTATGAACTATTTAAAAAGTATTAGATTAAGTTTAAAAAATCAATATTATAATCATTTGGTGCACAATCCCACACATTTAACACTCAATTTAACTCATTTGCTATCTCACACACAACCAACACGATATGCAAGAAACAACTGCTGGGAATTGTTTCAGATGCTCTAAAGTATGTTAATTTCCAAAGCAAAATGACTTTGTGCTGTGAATTTTAACGCACTTGAAAGCCTGTACTTTCTCTCGTTCTGGAACACAAATTTTGCATGTCTGAAGAGCTGTGATTCATCTTAAGAAAACCCATCTTGTGTTAAATGGAATGGAAACTGGACTAAGTGGTCAAATGACAAGTACATTCATATTCAAGCTGTATTATAAATGCATGTACAGTAATTTACGTCTCTCAGCTACCACAAAAGGCTCTTGATAAGCAGGTAATTTGCTAAATGGACTCCTTTATCCAAGTATTCGAAGGGCGTTACAAGAAAAATCTGCAGAGGCATTAATGTGACGTAAAGGTCAAGCATTGTGACATACCTTTCAAATAATCCCGCCTAACTTGCGTTATGAGGAGGAGGCTGTTGGCAGCATCGTTCAGTGTGAAGCCCTTGATGTGGGTCTCAGCGCTAAAAGAAGCAGACATTTAGAAAGGAATTACTGACATGCTTCTGATACGATAATAAATGGTTGAGCACCAAGGTGAAATTATAAAAACTACTGTTCGTATGTTAAAAATATTGCTGCAAAATATCGACCTGGAGACAGCTTTTGTGTTATCCTGTCAATGGTTATAGAAGGATAATTTTTTTTTTGCATTCTGACAGATGACAAAGTTGGAAACGAGCAACAAAAGAAACAAAGTACAAGATTTTTTTTAAACAATCGGTTCAGATTCTCGGATGCTGACATATTAGAAGACTAAAATAACTGCATGCCCTGCATTGTTCGGCTGGATCCTAAGCTGGATACTTTTTCCTCTTTTTTCCACATTCACCATAATTATAAAATGTAAAACTATTCTTTCAGCAACAAAAATGAACATTTATTTTCAGCACTGTATATTTAAAATATAAACTAAAGCACATTACGAACTAACACCATATCATTTGGTTGATTAATTTTCACATTTCTGTCATACAGATACATACAGTTTTTAAAGCTGAACATACTGAAGAACTAAAACCGTTGCCACATTAAAATTTTAAAAAATTCGCACAATAATCTCATCCCAGTCCGTCTTAAATGTGAAACAAAAAACCCAACTTTTTCAAACTCAAGAGCAAAACATTATTTAACTCATCACTAAAACCTAGGAGATAAAAAAGAAACCAAGAAAGAAACCTAGCTAGAGATGATTTCTGTTTTCTCCAGAGTTTGCACACCTCCAATGATGAAATTTCAGCATCCTTAAATGCCCTGGGGTTCATTTTCTGATCAGGGAATCTCCATAGGTCAAAAGGAGGAAAGCAATTGCTGCCATTTGCCTTATCAAGCTCAGTGATGCTCTCACTGTGCTAACAAGTGCACGGCCTGCCAACATGAACACAGAAGCTGAGCAGATTGCCAGGAAAGCTGGGTCGCTGATACATTATTCTCATCAGTCCCAAGAAAACCCTCCAAAGACACCACAACAAGCCTAACGTCTAGTCACGCTTTGCCTCTGAGGCTCACCCCGCAGTCTCCGGGTGCAGGATTTCCTTATTCCCATACCAATCCTCTTAATCCCACCAAAGCACCTATTGCTCAGTTTGACTTTCTCCTTTGTCCCATCTGTCAAAGCTCCTAAGTCAACAACTCATGCATGAGACTAGAAATTGCATAAAACAAAGGATTTACTTTCTCAATCTTTAGCATGATTAAATAAACATTAGATGCTATTAAAGGCTCATTTCTCATACCAATAGTATTATACCACATGCACTTAAAAATATTACCTAAAATTCATCAAAATCACGAGGTAACAAAACTTCTCTATTCACTGACACCAAGTGTGAACTACAAACTTTTCGACACCACAAAGGACAAAACAATTTCTTCCAAGTGTTCCTTCATATTTCAAGAAGTTGACTACTCATTATAAATATTAAAGTGAAGATAAATAACAGGAAGAAAGGAGCTCCCGAGGTCTACTGAATACACACACAGAGGGAACACATATACCTTACATATATTGAGGCTGACCAATCATAATTCAAAAAGTATTCAAAACAAGCAAAAGGAAAAAAAGGACAAGAGGTTAGCAGCAGAGATCCTGGCACTGAAATCACTGAAGTGTGCATACAATCAAAATTAATTTATCTCTGATCCATAATTTTGAGTTTTCCTATTGGAAGATTCTAGTCCAACACTACCAAATCTAACTTCCTGTGATGATGGAATCTATCTGTGCTATCCAATAAGGGAGCTGCCACACCACATTAAAACAAAGCTTCATTATAAAAGAGACAGTTCTTTACCAGGATCATTCATACAGAGCTGGAAGGCAAGGAAAAGGCCCATTTCCTGGCAACACACCAGAAAATAAATCCAGAGACATTGTATGATTTTCATCTGACAACAGAGTTAATTAGTTAAGAGAACTGAACTAGAACTTCCGCTTCTAAATTCCCACCCCATGATCATCTAGAGAAGTACCCAATGCAGATGCAATTGCACATAGCTAGCTCTAACATTTTATTGGTTTAAGGCAGGGGTGGGGAGCAACTGGCCCAAAGACCTTATAAGGTCCTAGAAATCATATAATCTGGCCCTGACAAAGCAATCGCAGTTCTAGCCATCACGTTGCTGTTGTTGAGCACCACTGAATCGGTTCTGACTCATAGTGACCATGTACATGGTTTCCAAGGAGAGATGGTGGGTTTGAACCTCCAACTTTGCAGCTCAAACTGACCTTGTATTCCAGTGTATTATTCTGAAGCACCACACCTGGGTGAGTTAATTAAATGTTTGACCAAATATGTTGTTGTTGTTTGTTAAGTGCCTTTGAGTCAGTTCTAACTCATAGAGACCCTGTAAAGGTCTTTCTGAGGAATGGCTGGCAAATTTGAACTGCCAATCTTGAAGTTCAACAGACTTTGCGGTCCAGTGTATTATCCCACAGTGCCGCACCAGGACTCCTGACCAAATATAGCAGGCTAATTTTTAATTTGATAATTTTGTATGGCGCATGAATAGTGTTATAAATTTTAGCAGATAAAAGGCTCCCTACCCCTGGTTTAAGGGAAAGGACAAAACTCCAGTTCCCAGAGTAGGTGCTTCTGGGTAACTTAAGGCTCTGGATCTATGATTCGCTTGGCCCTGCACACTCAGCTACATGGAAGGTCAGCAACAGAATCATCCTAGTGGGATAACACAGCTGTGCCCTCCCAAGAGTGCAGAAGTGCTTCATGAAGCTCTAGAGAGGGAGAAGGAAAGAAGGGAAACCTACATATTACAGGCTGTGATCTAAGCAGGGAAGAGCTGTGCTTATCGCCATCTTCTGAGTCAGCAGCTTCAAACTTGTTTGATTAAGATCTGCAGTAAGACATGATATTTGCTACTATATCTGAATTGTTGCTAAGTTCCCCTGTGTAGGGCTTACCAGGAGAGGCTGGTGGGTTTGAACCACTGACCTTGTTTTGTGCAGTCCAGTGCTTATATTACAGTGTTGTCACACCAGGACTCCAAATTATGGGTAGTGGTAGACACTAATTTTCTGAGAAAAGTAATTCTAGAACAAATTCACACACTTGATATCAGTGGTTACAGATGGCTGGTTTTTGGTCAAAGTTATTCTGACCAAATTCTGGTGGGGGTGTGCCACAGAGTCGGTTCGGACTCATAGCGGCCCTGTCTAGGGTTTCCAAAGCTATAAAACTTTACAGGAGCAAAAGCCTCCCTTGAGGTGGCTGGTGGGCTCAAACTACCGGCATTGAAGTTTGCAGCCCAGTTGACAATCCACTACATTATCAGGGCTCCTGACTATCCTTTTTTTTCAAAGTGTCATGAAGTAGGTTCCGACCCACAGAAATCCTGTATAGGGTTTCCAAGGAGTGGCTGATGAGCTTGAACCACCAACCTTGAGGTTTAAACCAACCTTGCAGTCCAGCACATTAACTCACAGCACCACACCAGGACTCCCCAGAGTATCCTAAAGGTATATCATTTAATTAACAATTGGATAATCATACAAACCCACCATTCATCTGTAAATCTGTCATGCTGAGGTGGCTTGTGTGTTGCAGTGATGCTGGAAGCTACGTCGCTATTATGTCACTATTAATAGCGGTATTGTGACTCATGGTAGATAAGTTTCAGTGGAACTTTAAAACTAAGACAGACTTAGAAAGAAAGATCTGCCAATCTACTTCTGAAAAGTAGCCAATGAAAATCATATGGAAAGCAAAGGAATACTGTCTTGATACTAGCACTGGAAAATGAGTCCTCTAGGTTCGAAGACACTCAAATTGCACAGAGGTGACACTAATGCATTTGAGCAGGGCTCCGATTGTGAAGATGGTGCAGGACTGGGCAATTTCTGTTCTGTTGGACA